GACACACTTCTACCATGGCAGATCTGTAAATGCGTGTGGACATCTGTGTGTAACGAGAGATTTGTCTGTGTGTCTCAGTAGCTATAAAGCCTACAGACCACCAGTCGGCAGTAGCGAGAAATTGGTGCGCTGTCTTCATTCTTTAACCTACTTTTGATGAGACCAGGAAAATAGCAATATAGGGCACTTAAATTACTTAATTTACTGTTTATCAGACCACAAATGAGTCAAGAATTAGGTTGGAAAATGCAGTCTGAAAAATTACTTTCGTTTCTTCCGACCGGGCCTCACTGATAACTGTACAAACCTTTTACAGTACAACAAAGGGAAGCCGAGGTGGTTTTCTTGCTGGTTTTGGCTCCTGGCCCCCTGGAGCTGACACGATGCTGTGCATCGGTGTCTGAATATGCATGAATGAGTTAGTTTCAATTTGATAGACTTTGCCATCACTGCGCAAAAGAGTCAATGTGGCATGTAGTTGAGTGATCGGAAGACTAGAAAGGCGCTATACAAGTACAGGTCCATTTACCATTTACACTGGCTGTATTTTATGTGCACATCTGCAGCTGGATGTGTGTGAAAGGGCGAATGTGGCGTGTAGTGTAAAAGCACTTTGAGTGGTCGGAAGATTAGAAAGTACAGGTCCATTTACCATTTACCATTTACCATTTTCCAAACTACCATACGTTACTTATGACCTCAGGGTTTTCATCAGACAGAAGTGGGCGTGGCTGTTGAGACACACAAATCTCTCTACACACACAGACCTCCACACGCATTTACAGATCTGCCACAGTAGAAGTGTAGCAAAAGTTGCATGTAAAAAGAACCAATTCAGAGTCCTGTCTGAGTTGTAACCAATGATTTGTCTGTATTTCCAGCTCTCTGAGCCTAATACTTATTAATACTTTAATACAATTAATATGTATGTCTGCACTTGCAAATCTGAATACAGATCTGTAGATTTTTTCCAAATCTACAAATTGGATTACGCACACGGATTCTAAACACACATTTGCAGATTCCTATACACATTCACAAATATCAGTACATATTTACAGATTATTTTACACATTCACAGATCTGATTACGCACACACAGATTGAGATACAGTTACACAACTCTCCACCCACATTTGTAAATAGTTTTGCTACAATACTAGCTCCATACTTTTCTAAAATGTATGTTTGTTTATTAGCCATATTCTACAAGAGTGGGTTGTGACTTAATGACCATGACGCTCCGTTGGTAGTGTGATAATAATAAATATAGTGATAAAAACTACGCTAGACTAATACATCAGTGTTTCTACTGGCTGACTAAGGATATCTGCTCAGTCAACTCTGACCTGTGCATCCATCGCCTCAGCTGGAGAATGCAGTGAAACAGGAAACCCACTGGTCGCACTAGATACAATTATATTATTTACACTACTGCCAGATGCCTGTACAGCAAGAGCTCCAGCAGCCTTTGGTCTAAGCCTTGTGCCTGGGTGGAGCCGTTTCTCCTAGAAATTACATTTATATAAAAATGTTTTGAGGGCTCTTGTCCGACTTCCTTTCCTCCTGGGGTAAAATAAGTGGTGGGCTGGACCCGTTGATCTGGCTGGGGGGAATACACCATTATTCAAAAGCCAGCAATGACTTGAGATATAAGACTTTTATTAAAATTTAACCCAAATCACAATCTTTCCCAAACCATAACCAAAGTTTTTGTTGCTTAAACAAGGAATCAAGGACATTTCTATTAAATTCAATTAAATTTTATATATTAAATTCTATAGCGCCAATTCATAACAGACAGTTATCTCAACACTTTAAATAGAGCAGCTTAACTTATCCTTATAAAATGTATTCATCATTATACAACACAAGTTTGTTTAATGAAATAGAAATAATTAAACTCAGCATAACATTCAAATAAATATCATAAAACAAAATATACAGTCATTTATACTGTATACACACACACAAACATACACCTATACACTCAGGAAATAATTCTGTAGTGCATCGAATGATGATAATATGGTTTCATCTTCCACTTTGACTGTGTTTGAGCACAAACCATCATTGATGTAAACACAGTCAGCCTTTTCCCTACACACAACCTTTCCCTAACCCGTATGACAGTGCTGTACTTTATACACTACACACTCTCTGATAATCCAGGCAGGTGTTATGTTGTCACCACAATGTAATTATGAAAACAATTTAGTTATATTCAAGCATTTCTGGGAGACAGAATTGCTGGGAGCCTGGAGGGCTGAGGTGCTTCTTTACTGAAAACCCAAATACACTGTGAGTCTTTAACAATCTGAACAGTCCTAAAGGAACTAATGCCCTCATCCTGTTCATGTCAGAGCTGTGGGAAATATACCTACCATACTGCGCCCAGAGTCTAAGAATGAGAGGAGAACTTTTCCACAAGGTGGTTTAGAGGTCATCAACAGTGGGCTGACAGCTTCAACACCACACCCAGAGAAATACAAACACACACTGTCTGCTGCTGCAGTTGACATCTGTACATTAATAAAATGTTGCGGAAATTACTGTCATACATTGTTTCCTTTTGAGCCGGCATAACCTAGGAGGACATTAGCAAAGTAAAGTGTGAAATAACGAGAGTGCTTTCGTCTCGTATGCAAATGAAATGTCAACGCTAGTTAATGAGATTTTGCCCTGTCTAATTTTCACATTGTTGACTAAAGTGTGAAAACTTTAACAAACAGATCCATTAGACTCCTACTTGTATAAGATGTATGTGTGCATTGCTTTGCCTTATGTAGCATGTAACCAGACTGGGTCTAAGAATAG